CCTTCCTCACCATTTCATTCTCCTCCTCACCATTCATTCTCCTCCTACCATTCACTCTGCCTCACCATTCATCTCCTCTCACCCATTCATCTCTCCTCACCATTTCATCTCCTCCCTCACATCATCTCCTCCTCACCAGTTCATCTCCTCCTCAACCATTCACTCCTCTCACCTTTCATCTCCTCTACCATTCATCTCCTCCTCACCATTCATCTCCTCCTCACCATTCATCTTCCTCCTCACCATTCATCTCCTCCTCACCATTCATCTCCTCCTACCATTCTCTCCTCCTCAACCATTCATCTCCTCCTCACCATTCATCTCCTCTCACCATTCATTCCTCCTCACCATTCAATCTCCCTCCTCACCATTTCATCTCCTCCTCACCACTTCATCTCCTCCTCACCATTCATCTCCTCCTCCACCATTCATCTCCTCCTCAACCTTCACTTCCGCCTCCTCACCCTTCCACGCTCCACCTCATTCCTCATATCTCGCGACTCCCTCATCTCTCGTTTTCTAGTCATCTCCGCTTCCTCCTACACTGCTGTCGCCTCCTCTGCCATCCCCCTCCTGCCTTTCCCCTCCCATCAACCACTTTAGCACCGCCACCGTTGCCGCCGCCGCCTCTGGCTGCTCAGGTTTCTCGGAAACGCATCCCCGAGAGAGCAGTGAAAAACAGCGGGAAGGACGCGAGGTGCCCGCCTCTCCTCCCGGGAAGGGCGAATCTCTCCACCGAAACCCTGCGTCGGATTGAGACTTATTTAGGCCCTTGGGCTACGAGCTCTGTGCGCTCCTCGTAATGAAAAAGAAATTGAAAAGGGGAAATAAGAAAAGATGTCCGGAACTTCTCAAAATTTTTAATTTTCATTGAATTCTATATTTTGTTTCTATTTTTGTGAAAGAAAATAGTTTTTCTAAACGGAAGCATTCAAAATTCAAGCAAGCAACGGACTTTCTCAAAATTTTTAATTTCATTTAGAATTCTATATTTTGTTTCTTTTTCGTGAAAGAAAAATATTATTTCCTTAAAACGGAGGCATTGGTTTTTTCCTTTGAAAAAAAAAATTTCAACTTTGTAAATCTCTTTCCTCCCTTTTGGGTTTTTAATTTGCTCAAGCTTCAAGGAGAGGGTGGTCTCAGGCAAACTGCTCCAGGCTACGCGTCCGGTTCCCAATGTTCGTTTTCTGTTCCCAACATCTGCTTTCTGTTCTCTTATCCGATCTTTTTGCATGTGATCCGTTCCGCCGATGTAAGTAGGTTCTCCTATTCCTCATTAATTTCATTTTTGTGCTTGCACGAACTGAATACCTTATGTACGCTTGGTACATAGTCTGACGAGGGTATTCCCTTAAAGCAAATACAAATTAATATGGAGAAAGCGTGTAATTTTCTTCTCTAATTTTTGTCAATTTCTTATTATCAATATAGTACTTTCATCTCGTCTTGTCACTTTCACATTCCATTACTTCGCCATTTCATTCACTGGGAAACATCACTCCCTGTACTTACATGTCATATCTTCCATTCATATATTAAAGTAATCATTTCAGTTAAAAGGGCCGATCCCGTCTGTAAAATAACCGTTGTACGCTAGAATGAAAGAAAAAGGATGTAAAAGATTGTTAACGCTAATTCGATTGCTCGAAAAAACAGCATTACGAACCTGTGAACGTGCAGTGAAAATTGAAGTGCTACGTCAGGCATGGAAAAATATTAATGTAGACTAGGGATATCAAACTACGCTCTTACGAGCTATTCCCCTCCTGGGAAGTCCGTCGCTCCCGCTAGCAGGAGCCACTTCCCCTCACTTAGCGCTCATTTCTCCTCCAAATCCAGAAGGCAATGTACACGCGCAATCTCCGGCGGAGAAGCGAAGTACCAAACGCGCTCGAAGCGCGCGATATCACAAAGAATGGTAGCTTTATACGAAAGTATGTTTGCCTGTTTATTCTATCAAACAACCGAGATTATAATTCTATTTATGTACTCTACTACATATTACTTCATTTCATGGTTATTTTCTTTTTAAATTCTGCCTTGTTTACACGATTTTGCCAAGAGGCAGAAATATGTTTGAATGGCGAAATCCTTGTCTATTTTCTATTGTTTTATTAAATCATTCAGTTCATTGATGTATATAGCAATAAAGTGAAATACATTAACAAGTTTCTCTTACGAACGAACAGCCTAACCTGAACGTAGCAAATTATTATAATTATTACACTCTTAGGTAAATTCAGTTACAAAATAAAGATCCCTTGGGTTCCAAACATTTAATTTTACTATCAACTGACAATTTGAAATGCGACTGATATTCTTCTTTGAAATTAATCATTTCTCTCCTTCAATAGAGGAAATAGGAATTTCAATCGTTTTGAGGGCAAACACTGACAACAGACTTTCAAAATTCAGTTGTCGGCCAGGTAACATCGCGCCACACCGGAACAATTTGTACAACCTTTATTTTTAAACCTTGCGGCAGTTGTTCGGCACGCAGTGCACACGAACTCTAGTAAGCTCGTTACGTTGCACGCGACCGTGACATGTCGGATTTAGTCGAGGCAGTAAAGCTGCTTTGATCTTACAGGTGAAGACGCGTTTAAGGCTGAAACTCCCTGAACAATCTTCTATTGTAATTACTTCAAAACCATCCATGACCATGAGTACTCCCTGTAAAAAGGAGTTAATTTCCATCGCAAGGGTAATTAATAATTTTAAATGGACCAATAACGCAAACGTAAGTAGTATTTGAATTTCATAAAGGTAAAACCACGTCTGTTTATTGTGAAAAGTGGTTTGTACCCTCAAGCTACGCATTGTTTCTCGGGGTCATCCAGTCTGCGCCGCTGGAAGGTGTGCAAAAGTTGACGTACGGTTCAGCTAGCGGCAACCTTCGAGAAATAGGTAGAGCTGGTACATTAGGGACGCGAGCAAGGTAACCTTTCTAGAGACTGCGTCCAGAGCTACGCGTTCAGAGTACAAAATGCTTCATGGCAGCAATGGATACCTGCCCTACGGCACGGCGGGCTTTGCTTAAAGCTGGAGAATCACATGCCACACATCAGTTGATGCCCTGAGCCACCTTTGTTTTTCACAATCCGTCACATTTCACTATTATCATCTGTCTGACACCTTTCGCAGAATGAATGTGCGAATTTAAACGAAAGTATGGTAAAGTACTTTTTAAAGCGTATGAAACGATACCACTCTCGTATTGTAATTATTTGTTTTAAAAATACTTATTTCGTAAAGAACTTTTTTTCCTGCAATTCTCAACCAATAAGAACTTACTTGATGTACAGTTCACCAAAATGCATCGTGTCATTTTATCTGAAACGAACTAGAGACGCTGTGGCATTAACCAAGTCCGCCCGCACACGCCTTTTGAAGAA